TCAACTTTTATAAAGAATATCTCTTTGGGTTTGAGACTTTAGTCTTTGCAACTTTAGGGATCTTATCTATTCATGAACAGCTTGTAACAGTCTAAAGAAAAAGGAAAACTTGAAATCGCATCATATGACCCCTTTAAATGTATAATTACACTGTAACAAGGACTTCTTAAAATAAAGTGTAACCTAAATCCTATATAAAAACACTACTGTAGGTATCAGGGAATATATTTCAGATCATCAAGCACACACACACACACACACACACACACACACACACAGGGTCTGAACTGCCCCAAACATGTGTGTATGAGTGATAATGTGTCTCTGCATACATTACCGCACACAGGCTGACGTCATGAAAGCGGCGCAGTGTCCTTCATCCACCAACACACACTTAAACACACTCAACGCACTGGAGTCGTGTTTAAGAGTGCTTAGATCACTTCCCAGCACACTCATGTTGGATTTGGGGAACCTGTTTACATCTGGTTAGGGGACAGATTGCTTTTTACACATGTAGTAACATGCGTCGCAAATGTGACTCCTGTGACCACTTGATTTGGAGGGGAGGGTTTTTAAAGAAAGGAAAACATCTGAATCTGAACATTCAGTGTTGTTCTAGTCAAGCCTCTGTGTTAACTGTACTTTGGATGTGTGTGTGTGTGTGTGTGTGTGTGTCTGTGTCTGTGTGTGTGTGTGTGAGTGTGTGTGACCATAAATGGCTGTGGATCACATCTCTGGCAAACAGTGGTCAGGACAAACCCATCTACTACGTCATAATTCTGCAGAAATGGAACACAAAGGAGATGACCTTAAAATGTCTAATTAGCCAAAAAACAAATCTGCCCTCTAGGCATTTTGGACGTGAAACAAAAACTCCAAAACCTAGTGAGCTGCCTAATTATAGACAGCATTTTAAGGCATCACAAGTGCATTCGAAAGGCTTTTCCAATATTAGGCTGCTTTCTAATATACCTTTGTTTAGAAATTCTATGCCAAATGTCCTTCACAGACAAGTTCAATTATACTGTTGTCAAGGTTTCACAAAACAGTTTTTAATGTCTAGTATTTTCCACCCTCTCTCGGACTCTTAGAATTAAACAAGTCATATCATGGAAAAAGATATTACAGAGTTTACTGTACTAAACACTGTAATTCTCTGAACTCTCAATGTGTCAAGCTTTATGGTGTGTGTTTTTAACAATCCCTGATCATGTCAGTCTGATCTTAACAGCACACATCTTGTTATCAGGGCTTGGTGGTTATGTTAATGAGCTCATGGTTGTAATGCCTATGAAACTTTTTAAATGACCTATTTTGTTAAGTCAAAACCATGTCAAACTTTTTGACCCTTGTTTTAAAATAAGCAGTTACGGAGAGACATGGAAACTATGGGAGAGGAGAGAGTGCAGCGGGACTGGGAAAGGATCTTGAGTCAGGACTCAAATTTTATTTGCCCAAAGCGTTATTGCAGCATATGTTGAGGCCGCTCACAAGGCTATGCCTCCGACACCATATCAATTTCTGAATTACCCATTTTTGTTCCAGAGTTTTCACAGGTTGTATCTACATAACCAGTACCAGACGTTTATTTTAAAAAAGCAAGGAAAATCATATTTACCATGTAATGATCTCTTAAAAAACGAACATGTTCACTGATTTAAAGGGTTAGCTCACCCAAAAATGAAAATGCTGTCATTAAAGGGTTCATGATGTGAAAAACCAAATTTCCCTTGATCTTTTGATACAGAAGAGGTCTTTGTATGCTTAATACAACCTGCAAGTTTCATAACTTAAAATAGCCCATGTGACATCAGTGGTTCAACTGTAATGTTATGAAGCTATGAGAATACTTTTTGTGTGCAAAGAAACGTCAAAGCGCCGGCTCCTGCAAAAAGTATTATTATAGCTTCATAGCATTACAGTTGAACCACTGATGTCACATGGGCTATTTTAACAATGTCCTTACTACCTTTCTGGGCCTTGAACATGGTAGTTGCGTTGCTGTATTTGCAGGGTCAGAAAGCTCTTGGAATACATCAAAAATATCTTAAATTGTGTTCCGAAGATGAACGAAGGTCTTACGGGTTTGGAAGGACATGAGGGTGACTAATTAATGACAGAATTACAATTTTTGGGTGAACTGTCCCTTTAATGATGTAAACTCATTGCCCAGGAGCTTTCTCTACACACTAGAGAGAGAGGAGTGCGTGTGGGACACTCACAGGAATGGCAGTGGGTATGTGTACGCTGGAGCTGGCGATGGTGGCTGGAATGGCGACTGGCATCGTCTGACCGTTAGGCAGCTGCAGCAGAACCGGAAACGTGCCGGACACCGGACTGAAGACAGACAGAGAGATGGGGCAAACAGAAACAAAATTCATAACAAATGTTACATTAAAATAATTGAAGTACAGAATTTATATGCAAAGGCTCGTAACATAAATAAGCTACAAAAACAAGCTATACATGCTTTAAAGTCAACATGAAACAGCAATTGCACAGTATTTGACTTTTCTAATGTGACATTTTTAATGAGGAGAAACAGGACGGGAAATAATTTTTCCCATCAAGAAATATATTAAATGGTAAATAATAAATGTTTCTTATCAGAACTGAGTCAGAGGTGACTAAGAGTCAATCACATCCACAATGCTTATTTTTAATATCTATAGTTATTTGCTACTGTAAGTTTTTTTATTTATATT